GAGAAACTTCTCGATGTGTTCTAAGAGAGAAAAAATGCTCCCCCAAGTTAAGCTAAAACGTTCCTTGAATGCTAAGAAGTCTGGGGCTGTCTTGTTGATGATGCCATCATAAATAGAAAAGTCATAATCCCATGATGATTTGGGAACTCTAGAAGCTGTGATTTTCGGGGTCTGTGAAAAAAAAAAATGTTGCCAGAGATGAAATATATGATGGTGTTTTCTCAGTGAGTGATCAAGACAGTCTGACTGTCACATTATCATTTACCACTCAATGATGGGAAGATACAGGTCCTAGTATTACTGATTTAACACATCCTCATCATAATATGCAAGTCTGACTACTATGTACCATTAAAATTCACTCTTAAGAAGATAGCTTAGAGATCATGCAAAGCCAATAACATTTTTATAGAAGTGTAATAACATTGCTCAAGGAAACTTGATCATTAAAAATTATGCTTTTAGTTTACTTTGATATGGTTAGCTGACCCCATAATCTTTTGTAGTTTTACTTTTCAGACATGTATATTGGTCTTAGAGAATACATTGCTGATTCTTTGCTCATCATTTATCACACTTTATAAAAAAGATGAAGTCATGCTTTGCTGTTTTCAGGATAATTTCAAGTAGTTCCAATAAGAGCTGTTCGTGATTTCCTAGAAGATAGTTGCTTTTTAGTGTTTATTAGAATTCGCCTGTCACTTTCTCTTAATATCCAGAGGTGATTTTTATAAGAAGCATTATGTTGTGTATTATCACCATGGTCATTTTAAATCTATTCTTTTTACATCTACTGTCCTCTCAGGTATGTATCTGGGGATGTCTGTAGACTGGATTCACACATTTCATAGCAAGTAAAACCAAGAAAGCATTTGCTTTTTATTTTCCTTCCATGTCTACTGAATAAAGACTAAAGCTATGGAAATATTTAAAAATATATATCAAGAGAGGGCCTCTAAAAATGGGATAATGGAAAACTTTTTTCTATATTTTTCTATATTAAAAATAATACATTCTATTTTAGAAATCAAATAAGAAACTTGGACGACAATAGCAATATATAAAGACATCTTCACTTAAAAAAAAAAAAGAAATAAGTAAAGAAGTGTTGCTGTCCCCTGCAAAACCACTCCATTTCAATGATCACAACCCGTTGCACTGAAAAATAGACACTGTGCCCCATGCCCTAGTGCTCCTAGCGGTCTGGAGGCTTGCGGGAGGGGCGTGGATATAAATGTCGCAGGCCCTGAATTCTCCCTAGTAAGTCGGCTAGTGCTATGGAGATCGTTCCTTCTTGCTTAGGGACTTAAGGACTTGCATGTCTTCATTATGTCCGTATTTTCAGATGTACAAGTCCGTCTTTACCAAGCTGAATGATTATATTGCTCTCTACAGTTTGAAGAGTTTTCACAAAACTCCAAAGAAAATTCCAGTTAATTTATCGGTTACTACTGTGCCACCTCACCGTGTTGAGTGAGCACTGCTGTTAGATTCCCCAGGCTTTTCTTTACTAAGTAAATGTTAACTGAGCGTAGTTAACACATACAAGGCTGGAAGCTATTTGAGAGGAAACCAAGCCGAGAGATATATTTACAATACAGCCACAAATAAACAAACCAAGCAATTTAAACTCCCTTTGATTTCTTTTTCTTTTCTCAGGTTCTGGATGGTGGAATGATTATAGATGTTCATCTCAAGTGAAAATGCCAAAAAAGCAAATATTAAATCCAAAATGGAAATTTTCTTTTTACTTGAGAAGCCGGCTTTAAATCGCAGTTAGCTTTTGCATGCTCGTAACTTGTGAGCTGTCATAAGGCAGAAGAATGATGGAAAAAGTCTTCTCACCAAGACTCTAACTCTTTCCAATCTAACTAGGACCCCAAGACAGACTGGAGACTGCTTGGTAGGTGGAGATAGATAAATGCCTTCCTCTTGGATGGGCAAAAGAGAGTTAGAACAGCAATGCCGCCTTTAGCAGACACCAATCTGGCAGGAGGAGCTGTGGCTCCTGGTGGAAGACAAGTGGCACATGTTCCAAAAGAAACAGCCAGGGGCTACATTTCTGGCTCCCTGTAGGAACAGGCTCTGATGGAGGGAAGGTTAGAATTCAGAGAAGAATGGCAAGGCATCGCCAGTGAGAAACAGACACGCAAAATAATCGCAGATGGACTTGGGCGGAGCTGGCTGGTCCTGCCAGCCACGTTTGATCCAGTCACCAGGACTCTGAGACTTCAAGAAGCAAAGTTGTGCATGGGAGCTTTGTCAGAGAATCCCGTCTCCTTGATGTTCATCTAGTCCCAAGATTCCTTATCCTTACGGAGAATCATGGGGAAGTAGGACCATCAGTGCAAATGGAACAATGTTGGGGGAAGGTCAGAAGGGAGAGGGGCTCTTCAGCCTCTCCTCAGTGTCCGTCCACTGGCTGGGGCTAAGCTATCTATGTACATTAACAGATGCATTTTAGACCTTCTGCTAGAACAGCCACGGGCAGGCTGGGGCTGCAGAATTAACAGGGGCTATTGGAGAACAAAGGGATTGCACCTTCCTACCTTGTGGGTGATATTCCAGCAAAGACCTGCTCTCAGAGGAGACACTCTCTTGGACGTCCAATAGACCACTCAGGCACAGGGAAGCTATGGGTTTGGAGTCAGCTAAAGCATAACTGTAGTACATCTGTCACAGAGAATGCCACACATGGGAGCACTTGAGACTTAGAGCAAGAACAGACATGCCTCTCAAGAGGAAGCCTTCCCAAATTAAAGCAGTGCATCAGCATTGTGAGACCCATTGAGCAGGTAAAGGCAAAGCTGCTTCACAGCCTGCTAGGAATCACAGCCCTGATTAAAGGTCATGCCACACTTCAGGCTCTGGTGCCTTCTGTTAGTCTTCCTTTATTATCTATCTCCAAGAACTTGTCTAGCATTATTTGTTGGTTTGCTCTCCCTTCCTCCCTCCCTTCCTTCCTTCCCCCCTCCCTTCCTTCCTTCTTCTCCTCCCTCTTTTCCTTCTCCCTCCCTTCCTCCCTCCTTTTTTGTTTACAGTGTGCTGCACTTCCAATGCGGTATTACTGACTCAGTAGCAAAATCTGTCTTTCTGGTGGAAAAAAACGTGTGCGGAGACAGCCGCAGTCACCTGGGCCTTCTCAGGACCACAGCCCTACCTAACCCTGGCGTGAAGCCTGCGCTCGGTAATTGGCCCATACGCAGCCCAAACCGGTGGCTGTGGCCTAATTATTAGCATCCTGCTCTAACTGACTGAGTCAACTAGCTGGGAAATGCTCGTCTTCATTTGCAAAGTGTAATCACTAATTAGGTAACTTTGAGAGTTTCTAGAGCAGTTATTTCAGGAAGATTCTAAATCTAAAGCAAAACAAAACAACAAAAACAACCCACCCAGAAGATAAAATGATGATTTCATAGGCTAGTAAGATCCAATGCAAAGCAAGAATACAAGCCCCATATTACATTCTAAAATTTAGAAATAGCCACTTCTAAGAAAAATTCCAGAAAAAAGTAATATATTTCTAAGCTGAATTTCCTATGAAAAATTTTATTTTCATATAAGTGGACAGCACATAGATGTAGCATTTGTAGATCCCTAAACTGGATATGGGAATGATCTCCTCATAGTAAGTAAGCAAATATTTGGGATAATTCAACATGAATATCATTTTTAGAGAATAATAATTCCACAGCCTAGAAGAATAGACTAAAATAATTTTGAATCTATGAGTCAATGGTCAGCTTCTCAAACAGCAAATCACACCCATTCGTAGTTAGTCTAGGCAGTTGCATTGTGTGAAAAGTAAGTTCTTCCTGCATGTTATGACTCTAAGTGAAAGCTTAGGTTCAGAGAATGAATAGAGTTTTTATTATTCCCCAAAGATCAAAGACTCCATTTGTCTTACTCTATCTTTTAAAATTTTGGTGAAAGTCCACAGTGTGTTGAACTTTGCATAGAACAGATATCAGGACCTCAGTTGGATAGAATTTCTTTTTTTGGTACCAGAAATCAAACTCAGGACCTTGTGCTTGCCCAGCAGGTGCTTGTGCCACTGAGCTATATCCCTGGCCCATAGCTGGATAGAATTATTCAAAAGGTACATACAGTATTCAGAGAAAGTAGCTGATTTCATCAGGATCCAGAAATTTAGCATGATCAGGTCTTGAATTAAAACATGAGGGATCTTGACGGTCACTGTCTCTGCTGCTAAGGACCAGCGTGACACAGTGCAAAGCAGGCAGTGATTAATATTGATAGATTGGCACAAAGATAAATTGAGAGTCTGTCCTAGGCCTACATGACTTGTGGCAAGACCTGCGGCTGACTTACGGGCAGGTTAATCTTTAAGCCAATGGCCAGAATTGAGACTAGCAAATGGTCTGTGAAGTTCTGGTACCTCAAAGCAAGATAACATTGCAGCTAAGGACTTGACTCGTCCAAATTCCTTCTAGCTCAGTAGTCCCAGTTAGCAGATAATCAGGTTACTAGTTCACCATGATCTGCTTCTGTGTGCTTTCCACGTCAACAGTTCACCCCTACCTCTTCCTGCAGCCACCAGCACACTCCCCAATCAAGCTGTGTACCTAGTAAAGGCCAAGAACACCACGCCTGGTGGTCTTAATCCTCATTGGGCTTTGACCATCCTGGTGTTCCTTGTAACTAAAATATGTATCTCATCTGTGTTTTATCCTGTCATCATACCCCTGAGCAGGAGATTGGTGCTCCTAGGCCAGGGCTCTGATACTTTGCATTTTGCCCTGTAAACTATTCTGGGTCCAAGGGAAAAGACTTAGTGCTGAATTCCAACTAACTGGAGCTCAGATGCCTTCTCTGCTACTATCTTCTGTGTACTCTTAGGAGCATTCCTAACCTCTAGGAATCTAACATTTTTCTCAGCTGTAAAAGTGAGGCTTCCTTGAAGAGTTGCTGTGATGATTATGGCATATTACACTTTCACAGTGCCTCATCCCTGGTTAGTGTGGTTATTGCTAATAGATGAGGAAACTGAGGCTCAGGAAGGCGAACAGCTTGTCTAAGAGCATAACGCCAGTTTGTGGGTCTTCTGCTAGGACAGTATTTTTGCTACTATAAGGAAAAATCCTGTTTCTAAATACCCCAAATCCATACAGAACTAAAGGAAAGAAAGGAATTACTAGTAAGGCTTGTCC